AACTTAGCTCTTCCAGCAGGCCTACCAAATCAATTTTAAAGTTTAGTTAATTAAAGTTAAGCTACATTTTATTAGTAGTGTTGGTCTTCATTATGTGTACTATATTAATATATACATTTTAATCGTAAATTTTATTTTTCCATTTTAACCATGTCATACCCTGCCTCACGTTATAAGAGGTAAATAACAAATGTTATTGTTATTGTGTGACTTGACCAAGATCACTCTGTGGGTTTCCATAGCTGAGTGGGAATTCAAACCCTGGTGTCCCAGATACTGACTTGTCATGATGTCCGAATGCACTGAGGGCTCTTCCACACAGTGATATAACCCAGAGTATCAAGGCAGAGTAACCCACAATATCCGCTTTGAACTGCAATATCTGAGTCCAGACTGCCATATATCACAGCTCAAAGCAGATAATGTGGGATTTTATTCAGCTGTGTAGAAGGGGCCTGAGAATACTTCAGAAACTAAGGACCCTTCTATATAGCCCTATATCCTAGAATATCAAGGCAGAAAATCCCACAATATCTGTTTTGAACTGGGTTATCTGAGTCCACACTCAGATAATGTGGGATTTTCTGCCTTGATATTCTGGGATGTAGGGCTGTATGGAACAGCCCTAAGTTGTATTAAGTTGAATGGAACTTACTTCCAGTTATGTGCATAGTTATCTGGTCACATGCTGAATCAGGAAAAGAGAGATAAGATGCCAGACATTATCTGATCAGTTGACAACTGTAACATGTAACAAGGCTCTGTGTGTAGGAATGGTACTACTTTTTTATTTCAATTTTGATTTTATTTAGAATAATAGAAAAAGGAGAAGCATTCAATGTTCCAAGTAAAGTGGGGAAACAATTTGGCAATAGAAAGTAGGAAAAAGGAGAAAAAGAAAGGAGAAAGGGGGGGGGGTACCACCTCGGTCAATCAAGAGAGGGGGGAAAAATGAAAAATTCAAAAAAAATTTAAAATGAGTGAAAAAATTAAAATTAAAAAACATGGTGACTTCAATCTAAGCCTTTGTGGTTTAAGATTTGTTCCAACCGTGGTCTTCACAGTGGTAGTTAGTAATGGTAAAAGAAAAAGGGAAAATAAAGCAAATATAGCTATATAGCTCTCTCTCTCTCTCTCTCTCTATATATATATATATGGATATTTCCACATCAACCCTCCATTGTATCTATTCTTGGTTTATTATTCTTAATGGTCTTTTTTCTCTTATCTTCGTATTCTTCAAACTGTAGCCAGTCTGTATGTTTAATTGGATTACCCGAGTTTCTCTTTAATAGAAAGGTTAACTTATCCATGTCTTTTATTCCATTTATTTTGGTCAACCACTGATCCAAATCCGGTGCTTCCAGAGTTTCGCGTAGGCAGGCCCGTAGCCAGGATTTCGTTTCGGGGGGGGGGCTGAATTTTTTTCAGGGGGTTTCGGGGGGCTGAGTTTCGGGGGGGGGCTGAGTCTGAGTGAAAGAGGGTCTAGCCTAGCAAACCTTTTGTATCGTTACCCCAATACCCCCATGCATATGGGATATATTGAGTATGGTGATCAGATCATGATATGAATAAACATAACAGTTTAAATAATGCACCAGTAAGGCCTTTTCGCGAACCACCATGAGAATTTCGGGGGGGGGAGCTGAAGCGTAGGTAATCCTTGTGGCTGTCGTCATAAACATAAAGAGGATGTCTTGGCTAAACATAAAGAGGATGTTTTGGCTAATTCGGTGCAATGAATGTGTTGATTACGGATTGGTAATATGGATGATGCAATTGGACCACGATTTTAGTTAGGAGATGTATTGGATTGTGATTTCGTGTAATATTGTGTATTATGTTTTTTATGGTTTTAATTGTATACTGTGCACTGTATATTTTGTTGTAAACCGCGTTGAGTCGCCAATTAGGCTGAGAAACGGCGGTATACAAGGACAGTAAATAAATAAATAAATGTCTTCATTTGGATCTAATTTTATGTCTACATCAGTTATGTCTACATCAGTTATTCCTAATAAATAGTATTCAGGTTTTGGGGGTATTTTTTAAAAGATTTGTTGGCATTCTTCATGGATTAATCTCCAATATTTCTGTGCTGCCCTACAAGTTCATCACAAGTGATAGAAGCTCCCTTTGTGGTCGTTACATTTCCAGCAATTCTTAGAAGTATTTTTATACATTAGATTTAATTGTTTTGGTGGTACATTACACATTTTTGGTGTAATGTACCACTGGTTGAACATTTTAAGCCAATTTTCCTTTAAATCAGCTGCATATGTATAATTTAGTTTTTTTGTTCCACATTAGTTCCCAATCTGCTAGTGGTATCGACTTTTGGTACTACTTTTCATTTTGCACAGAGGGGCCCCATTCTTTGCACCGGAATAGCATCACTGCCAACGAGCAGGAAAGTTGCCTTTTGGACATATTGTTAGGAGTGTTACCAAAGCTGCTTTGGACTGGCACTGTGCCCACCCCTCTGGAATAGTTTCCTGACAAGCTGCCTAATCCCACCGCATGTTTTCCAGGCTGTTCTCCATTGCCATATATTGGATTGCACTCAAGGGTAGGAATTAAATGAAAAACAAACATCTGAGACACAACACAAATATTTAAAAGGCAAGCATGCAATCAAGATCGCTCCAGAGTCAACATGCCCCAAGCAACAAATGCTTATTTAAAGCAACCTAGAAATGAATACTGAAGGTTAGAGCGATCTCATCTAAAAATAATGTTCCATCTTGAATTTACTCCATGTAGACATTTCATTTCTACCCTACACTCTTCATGTCTAATTAATTTGCTATCATTTGTTAACAAACGTGAATTTATGTAACAAATGTGAAATACGAGGAATATGGAGACTCAAAGAAATCTGGTCCCAGTTTCACCACAAACAACAGTATGCAATTATGAACCAGATTGTATATATGTTTCCCAGCTGTGGTAAAAAAATTCCTACATTTAAGCCAAAAGGGAATTACATTGCGGGTTTGGGGTTTTAATCAGCAGAATTCTAATGCTGAATAATAATGCCGTATTTTGTGCTGTCACATCAATGGAAAGAGAAAAGTAAACAGAAATATTCATAATGTTCCACTGTGCCTATGACTAAACACTTCACTAGATGACTTGCCCCTAACTCTAATTTTCCAACAACTTTAATATTGCCCCCTGCCCCATAGTCCTTGCATTCCAATGCCAAATGACATTACCGTCCAGCTCTAACTTTCATCGGATTTTGCACTTCTCCTTTACCCCTGTCCTGAAACTATTACACAAACTCTCCCCCTCCCCCCCCCCCCAAGCTTAGTATCTATTACTATTCAGGCTAGGGATTGCTTTTACGATGTTGTGCTGTGTTACTGTGTTGTATTGTTTTATTTTTTGATTATTTTGATTTGATTTTGTTATGTGGTGTTTTAATCTGTGTTTTTCCGGGCTTGTCCCTATGTAAGTCACCCTGAGTCCCTTTGCGGAGATAGAGGCGGGGTATAAAAATAAAGATTATTATTATTTGAAACACAAAAATATTAGTACACAGCAAACAAGCTCACTGTGTTGGCTGTTGTATTGAATCACACGTCGGACCCTTCCCAAGTGTCTAGGACTGTGTGATGTATCGCCAAATAATGTGTGCAGATCCCCGTAAGGTGGCCTTTTGCAGCTGACGGATGGTAATTTCGTCAGCGCCAATTGTGTTTGAGTGCAGGCCAAGATCTTTAAGCACTGCACCCAGTGTGCCAATCACCACTGGGACCACCTTTACTGGCTTGTGCCAGCGGCTTTGCAATTATTATTAATTATTGTTAATTATTAATTGTTAATAATTATTAATTTATTATTATTATTATTGTTATTGTTATTATTATTTGAAACACAGCAAGATGAGTCCACAGCAGACACTCTGCTGGCTGTTGTATTGGATCACACATCGTACACTTCCCAAGTGTCTAGGACTGTGTGATGCATTGGCGGATAATGCGATCAGATCCCAGTAAGGTGGCCATTTGCAGCGAGCAGATGATAATTTTGTCAGCACCGATTGTATTTAAGTGCCGGCCAAGGTCTTTAGGCACTACACCCAGTGTACTGATCACCAATGGGACCACCTTTACTGGTTTGTGCCAGAGTCTTTGCAGTTCAATCTTTAAATCCTCGTATCGTGTCAGCTTTCCCAGTTGTTTCTCGTTAATCCTGCTGTCACCTGGGATTGCAACATTGACAATCCATACTTTGTTTTTTAACATGATCGTGAGGTCAGGAGTATTGTGCTCCAAAATTCTGTCTCTCTGAATCTGGAAGTCCCAGAGTATCTTGACGTGTTCATTCTCTGTAACTTTTTTTGGCTTGTGATCCCACCAGTTCTTTGTCGTAAGCAGATGGTATTTGTGGCACAAGTTCCAATGAATCATCTGAGCAACGGTGTTATGCCTCTACTTGTAGTCTGTCTGTGCGATCTTCTTGCAGCAGCTGATGATGTTTCTATTGTTTCATCTGCTTCCTTGCAGAATCTACACTTGGGATCTGACGTCAACTTTTCAATTCTGGCTTTGATGGCATTGGTTCAATGGTTTGTTCTTGGGCTGCCAGAATCAATTATTATGGAGCTAACATAATGACAGATAAAAAATATTTATTTAAACTAATAATAAATCAGTGTAAAGGGGACATGGCAAAAATAAGAGCAAATAATGACCTTGAGACTCTATGGCCCCTTCTACACTGCCCTGTATCCCAGGAACTGGTCCCAGATTATCTGCTTTAAACTAAATTATATGTGACTCCACTGCCAGATAATGTGGGATAAATAGATAATCTGGGATCAGATCCTAGGATATAAGCACAGTGTAGAAGGGGCCTCTGTGACTTGTTGAGCAGAATGTGATAGAGGACTTTATAGTGATTAATGATGGCTTTGCATCCTAACATATAGCAATTCACTAGTGTTCATAATGTCCTCTTTGTTCCTTCTTCTTCCACCTCTTTTAATATAGACTTTAGAGAGTTGTTTCCAAGAGCAACTGCGGCTCCAGGCTCAGGTGAGACTTCTGGATCACAATGTGAAACAGCAACAGGCAAAAATAATACAGCTTTTAATGGAGAGGGATGCTCAGAGCAGAGATAAAGGAGATGAAAATGGTGTCATCAGTCTGGGAGAAGAAAGAGAGTATACAGGTGAGAAATGAATCTCGTTGTTTTGCTTTTTATTGAGGCTTAGATTATAATACTGTACTCTCATCACAGTTTAAAATCAATCCATGAGTCAAATTCTCAAGGCCTCTCGTCGCAAGAGGAGTAGATCTGCTGAACCAATAGCTGAATGACAAGTCAACACTTATGTCAACTCCATTTATTCAATGGAACTGAGTTGAGTCATTCCACTATAACCCTCTCAAAAAGTGAAAGATGCATGAATCAAGTTTGTTTGTTCCTCTCCCCCCCCCCCACACCCGCCCCTGCCCCTACAGTGCTGCTGCTGCAGATCCCCATGGGCACTTTATAAATGGACCATTTATTTATGAACTGTGACTGTTCCTTGTTATCCTTTCCCAGCATTTGATAGCCAGAGGTATTTAGTCTTGGAATATGAAGGCTTCGTCTAGCTGTCAAGTTGAATGCTGTAACTGTTGATATAAATATGCTGCTGTTATGTTAGCATTGAAAAAAGAGCTTCAAATTCCACCATGCTGTAATGGAAGAGAGGATAGGAAGCAGGGGTAGACGAGCCATTCAACAGAGACATCAACAACCTTTGCCTCTTCTCTTTCCACTGTTTCGATTACAAAAACATTGCAATGAGGAACCTATACACCTGAACTTGCATCCCATGTTTTCTCTGAGTGTTATTGCATGCTTTCATGGCCGGAATCACTGGGTTGCTGTGAGTTTTCCAGGCTATATGGCCGTGTTCCAGAACCATTCTCTCCTGACAAGTCTACATAGGGACCACCTAACACAATGCCCAAACACAAATCAAGAAACATGAAAGGCACTGCAAACTAATTCAACCTGAGAAGTCAGTCATGGCAGAGCACCTGATGAATCAACCTGGAAACAATAGTATTACTGGAGAACACAGAAATGCTGGAGCACTCTAACAACTACCATGTCAGAATACACAGGGAAGCCATTGAAATCCACAAGCATGTGAACAATTTCAACAGAAAGGAGGAAACCATGAAAATTAAGCAACTTTTAAAAGTTTTTTTTTAAGTTTTTAAGCAACTTTAAATCTAAATATAAGTGATTTTAATGTTTGTATATATTTATGGTTTTATGTCCCGGCATTGAATGTTTGCCATATATATGTTGTGCTCTACCCTGAGTTCCCTGCGGGGTGAGAAGGGCAGAATATTAATGTTTTAAATAAATAAATAAAGTGAACGAAATCTGGCTACCAGTATTAAAAAAACTCTAAAATCAGGACAGTAAATAAAGAGCAACACTCAAAAACAGGGGAATTCAATACAAGAATCAACCAGGGCCAGCTAATACTTCCCAACAAAGGATCGCCCCAGGCAGCAACTAGCCAGGCTTTGAAACTGCAAGGCCATTAAATGCTAATCAAGGTGGCCAGTTGCAACATTCGCACTTGCCTCAAGCAGACAAGAGTTCGTTCCTCCACCCTAGACATTCCACAGATATATAAACCTTACTTGCCTAGTTTCCAAACAGACCTCACAACCTCTGAGGGTGCCTGCTATAGATGTGGGTAAAACATTAGGAGAGAATGCTTCTGGAACACGGCCATACAGCCCGGAAAACTCACAGCAACCCAGTATTTCAAATATATTTAACAATACTGCAATTATTTCTGATGTTAGGGCAGGAATGATCTTATAACTGACCTCTGTAAATTGCTCTAGGAAGTTTGTTTTTTAGACTGAGGGTTTTAGCAAAAGAGTTGGACTTGTGAGTAACATAGGAAGCTGTGCTATTCTAAGACCTTTCTGTTGGTTCCTGATATTCTCTGATGCTTCTAAAATGGGTTGAAATGACATCTATTCAAGGTGGTATGGTAGAACTTAATAATGTGAATGGTGATTTTTGTTGGCAGTACTCCAAGTGGAGAGGGCATCTTCTTATATGAAAATACATTTTCAGTAAATATCGCCTCCTTCTTCCTCTCCTCCTCCTTCTAATTTTCTCAAATTATAACACTCAATATATTTTACAATGTAAGTTCAAATAGAATATACCTAAAACAACGCACTAGACAAAGTTTAAAAATAATTGTATCAAAAACATTAATTCCCAACAGTTTAAAAAAACAGCTAAAAACAGATTATAAAATATAGTACATCCCAGTTAAAATACTTTCTACAACATGCTGAAATAAAGACTGAGTGGAAAAGCTGGAAAATAATTGTCAGGGCCAATATGTAATTACGAGTTAGGTAAGTTTAGTTTCTAACTGTTTTCAGGTTAGGTATCTAGCCAGCAAAATACTATTGTATGGTTGGGGTTTTCCCCACAGCTTACAGTTTAGGTTTTGCTAAGGCATATCATGTGTCTTGGCTGAAGAATGTGAGTGGCATTTACTTCAGAGCGTACATGCAAGTAAGACCTGATCTTGTTTAATGCTTAATAAAATTCTCCAACAAGATTTCAGACTTCTTTACCCTTTCTGTTCTCAGCACTGTAGGATGGGTAGTGAAAGTGACAAAACCTATTAGCTAAAAGCATTATTATTTGGGGCTGACCTGAGACAGCTGCAAACTGACATCTTAATCACTTGTCTTAAGGTTCAGTATTTACTGCAGCTGCTTCCTCAGATGAGCTCCAACAGCAGGGACCCTTCTTGTCTCTGGAAACCCTTCATTAATCCTGCCCAAGGTCTCAGGAAAGGTGGTGCTGAAAGGTCCAGGCTGAAGATCATGGGCTGATGTCGGACTAGGGCTTGCCATCCTGTCCCAAGAGGGATGCAAGCCCCACGCATTCTCTAAATTCTGGCCCATATAAATTCCAGGAGGAGATTATTTACTGTAAGAATAATCAATCTCTAGCTTTTTGGTGCTGAATCTCTCTGAGATTTAACAAAACACGTTTTGAATTGCAACTGTAGACCTCGAGCTTGAAAAAGTTGCCCTTTGTGTTTTAATTCCACAAATACCTCTGCTCCTAGGGACATACTTGTTGGATTACGAGTTTATAGATCACAAAACTACCATATTTACTTGAGTCTAATGTGCTGTCGAATCAAATGCACACCTCAATTTCCAAAATCCTGAAACCAAAAAGAAGGAAATTGCTGCCAAATGTAATGCGCAGCAGCAAAAGGTGCCCCCTTTGTCATTTGGCCAAAAAAGTGTGCTTTTCAGTTGCTGTCTGCTTAGGTTTCCTATTATCCTGTGTGACTCAAGCACTTTACTCTACCAGCACCTTAACTTACTACCTCTATGGTCCATTAACTTTATTGAGCCTTAGCACTTTAATCGACTCAACCATCTAGCGCTGAATTTAAGTCCTCCATGACGCACTTCATCTAGCACTTTAGAGCCATTGACAAGCTATTGCACTTTAATTAATTATACCATTGTGTATGCTGATATAATTATCTATCTGCACTTTAGGAACTTTAGTGAACTCTTCTGACAGTGTTTAACAACTATCATTCATGTCACTACCCATTCCCTGGCATTTGTTAATCTTACTGCTAACTGTTTATAGTGGAGAGAGGGAACAGAGTAGTTCAGAAAGACCCGCGTATAATATAGCAGGAGCGGGAAATGAATGTAAAGCAAGACTATGGCAATCTGAAGTTGTAACATACCAAACAGTCAATAATGATTTATGGGGTGATACTTTGGCTGCTGAATGCGTCATGGAGGAGGGAGAGGCTTCCGTTAACCGGGGAGCCCCCATAGAAGTCGTGGTGGGGAGGGGGAGATACGGGAAAAGGAGACCTCTAATTTGGCCTAGGGAACGTGGAACAACATTAGTAATTCCAAGTCGGTCTCCTGATATGACAAGTTGGTGTAACCAGGATGGCGGTCCCTCCGAATTGAAAGTGGTGCTGTTGAACGCCAGATCTGTCAATGGCAAAACAACCTTCATCCAGGACTTAATCCTGGATGAACGGGCAGATCTGGCGTGCATCACGGAGACCTGGGCGAGAAATGCGGGAGAGGGTAAGGACCCAGGCTTATAGCCACCAGGTTTTTTTCTCGTTGCCCCCCCCCCAGCACTTGGGAGGGCTTTGACTGTGCCTGCTTCCTGGCTGAAGGAGGTTGGACTGGATGCCCTTTGAGGGTCTCTTCCAGTGCAGGCAGGGGGTGGGAACAACCATTTTTGATGTGGCATGCCTGTGGACTATAGCCAACACACTAGTATGTTATGGCACACAGTTTGGAAAGCTCCCACACAAGAATGACTGATTGAAATCCACAAACGATCAGAGATAGGAAAGTGACTCTGCCAATTAAAAATACATCTTTTAGCAACTTCAGTAAAGATTGGGAATTCTTTATCACTTGTTCACAACAGCAACAACAGAGGCAAATATCAGTTGTCGAATTTATAAATTGGAAGAGTGTTGCCAAAAGCATAAGTGTACTTACATAGGGTTATCTAAGCGGGAAGTAGTTATATAGGGTTATCTAAGGGGGCGCTGAACAGGCTCTGCTCTTGACCATGAGATGCAGAGGATTGTTGTTGTGTGCTTTCAAGTCATTTCAGACTTAGATTGACCCTGAGTGAGGGCCAGGTAAAGGACCTTGGAGGGCCGTATCTGGCTCCCAGGCCTTAGTTTGAGGACCTCTGGCCTAGAGTCTGGACAGAGCTAGACTCACAGGTCTATGTTCACATCACAGGATTCTTGATGGGGAGAAACTCTATAAATGATTGGGATGGAGACAGACCTCCACTCATAGTGGAAGGCTATGATTACATGAAAGGAACTAGAGAGCGTGTGGGGGAACGAGAGAGCGTGTGGCGTTCAGATCCGAGCGAGCCAAATCGAACACGGTTTGTGTCCTTTTTAAGGGCATATGCCGCGGCAATAAAAGCCGCTAAGAAGACTTTCTTTGCGGCCACTATTGCGTCTGCAAAGAACCGTCCGGCTGAACTGTTCCGAGTTGTCAGAGGCCTGTTAAAACCCACCACTCAGGATGGGTGCCCTGATGACTCGGCAGCTCGCTGTGAAGCTTTTGCTCAGTTCTTCGCAGACAAAGTCGCTTTGATCCGCTCTGGACTGGATACCATATTAACGGCAGTCTCTGAGGATGTAACACGAGCATCTGCTTGTCCTTATACATGCCTGAAGTGTGGACAGCAATTTTCTCATAGTTGAAGTCTACTTCAACTATGAGTGGAATCCACGACATGCGAGTGTGGAGAAGAGCAAACCACAGACCACCTGCTGCAATGCAGACTGAGCCCTGCCACATGCACAATGGAGGACCTTCTTGCAGCAACACCAGAGGCACCCCAAGTGGCCAGATAC